GCTGGACTCACTGGCCGCTTACAATATTGTACGCTTTCTCCGACGACTTGCCGATGCTGGTCAAGCGATTCTATGCACAATCCATCAGCCGTCTGCTGTTTTGTTCGAAGAGTTCGACGATTTGCTTTTGCTACAAGCTGGAGGAAGGGTCGTTTACAACGCTGAGCTGGGCTCAGATTCCAGGACGCTCATTGACTATTTCGAAAGCAATGGCGCCAGGAAGTGTGCCTCGCACGAGAACCCTGCCGAGGTATTTGCAGCCTTTCACACCGCATCGACCTGTTTCGCTGACTGAAGTAGTACATGCTCGACGCCATTGGTGCTGGAAACCCTGAGTACAAAGGACAAGACTGGGGCGATGTCTGGGCCAATTCAGAAGAACACCGACAACTCTCAGAGACCATTCAGAAGATAACCCGAGAACGTCGGGACAAGGAAGGAGGAGAACGAACAGATGATGACCGCGAGTTTGCGATGCCCGTCTGGGTGCAAATTGTGGCGGTCACCAAACGATCCTTCATTGCCTACTGGCGGACGCCGCAATACGTTCTGGTAGGTGGTGTTCGAACTGCTATAATCCATCAGTCTTAACAAGCTCGCAGGGTAAATTCATCCTTCACATCTTCACCGGATTGTTCAATACCTTCACCTTCTGGCACCTAGGCAACAGCCAAATCGACATGCAATCCCGTTTATTCTCCATCTTCATGACCCTCACCATCTGCCCCCCTCTGATCCAGCAGCTCCAGCCCCGATACCTCCATTTCCGCGATCTCTACCAGTCTCGGGAGGCCGGTTCCAAGATCTATTCCTGGACAGCCTTCGTGACCAGCGCCATTCTCCCCGAATTGCCGTATTCAATCGTCGCAGGCTCGCTCTACTTCAACTGCTGGCAAGCAAACCCTCTCTCTCCACCATCTCCATCCGTCCACGCAAACTAATAGACACCACCACAGGTACTGGGGCGTCTGGTTCCCGCGCGACTCGTTCAGCTCCGGCTACGTCTGGATGATGCTCATGCTCTTCGAGGCCTTCTACATCGGCTTCGGGCAGTTCATCGCCGCCTTCGCGCCCAACGAGCTCTTCGCCTCCCTTCTCGTGCCCACGTTCTTCACCTTCGTCGTCTCCTTCTGCGGCGTCGTCGTCCCCTACAACGCGCTCATCCACTTCTGGCGCTCCTGGATGTACTGGCTCACCCCCTTCCACTACCTCCTCGAGGGACTCCTGGGCGTGGTCACCCACAACGTCCCCGTCCGCTGCGTCTCCCGCGAAGAGTCGCTCTTCAGTCCGCCCCCCGGCTCCACCTGTCAGGACTACGCCGGTGCCTACGCCTCGCAAGCCGGCGGATACGTCCAAGACGCGGCCAACGGGCTCTGTGCCTTCTGTCAATACGCCGATGGCGATGTCTTTGTATGTCTCTCTCTCTCTCTCTCCCTCTCTCCGTCTGAAGGCGGCATGAACACTAACGTATATCCTTTCGCCGTGCCATCCCAGGCCGCGAGTTTCAACGTCTTCTACTCGCATAAATGGCGAGATTATGTAAGTCAATCTTTTCCGCCGGCTGCTGGTCAATCTTGCTGGGCTGTTTCCCTTGGGTCTCAGGTCGACATGAAGCTGATAGCCCAATGCAGGGGATCTTCTGGGCCTACGTGGCGTTCAACTTCGTGGCGGTCTTCTTCTTTTCCTGGCTATATCTGCATGGCATCGGGGATATCAGGAAGTGGTTTAGTAAGCGGAAGGCGAAGGATGCGAACGCTCCGCAGGAGCAAACGGGGGATCGATGAGTGGGCGGGTTGTTCGAGATGCAGTTTGACATGCGCAGACATGCTGTTGGGTAAGGGGGGGGGGGGTAATAAATACAGGAGAACCTCGGGAGTTAAGTCGAGGGTTTACTGGGAATTGAACGCTGAAAAGTACTAGTATAGTATAGAATGTGAATGGGATTTCAATCTCAAGGATCATGTATATAAAAACGTATGTACAGGAGAATCAACACACACAATAGAAACAATCCTCAAGATGACAGACCACTCAGTTGGCATAGGGTGCCCCTTCATCCTGTTATAACCTATACTTGTGGGGGAGTGTGGGTCCACTGTTGCTTCTCCCCAACGTTAAGATCGGACACACTTTCAATGATGATTGAGGTAGATAGATAGATAGATAGATAGATAGATGGTTGTATATAGTGACCTTGAGTCGGTGATGAGAATATACCCGGTTCTACCTTCATTTTCTGAATGACGATGGTACATTTGTCTTCTCAGGAAGATGTAAGTTTCGAGGCGTCCCAGTCGGTGGGAGGAGAAGAGTGCCAAAGGCAAGCTAGTTGCCTCAGACACCCATTAAGCCGTCTCTGAGCAGGAGGGCGGCGGCGTCGGTGCGGAAGTCCCGGAGGCTGTACCCGTGGGGTTAGAGGGGATACCACCGCCGGATTGTTGCGGGGCGGTCCACAGGCTGGAGGAGCCGGTGGAGTGCTGGGCTGATGTGCTGCCGGCACCGGTAGTTACGGTTGGTGAGGACAATGGTACAGGTACGCCAGAGCTAGGGACATTGCCCTCTGGGGCGTCGTGTCCGACAGCGGATGGCGCTGCCGTCGCCGTATGATGGCCGTTCATCAAGCGAGGGCGTTTAGCGTGAGGGCCCGTTTCAGGGCTGCGAGTCACGGAATCCTGGTGTTGCTGTGATTGTTGTTGTTGTTGTTGTTGTTGTTGTTGTTGTTGTTGCTGCTGCTGGTATGATGATGCGGGTGCTGCGCTGGGAATAGGGGCGGGATTCGTTGGGGAAGGATCGGGACTCAAGGCCAAGGCGCCCGTCGGAGGGTGTAGCATTCTGCTTGCTGTCCTGTCATCGCCTGCTGTGGCCGTCGCACTGCGCTGCTGTCTTGTTTCTGTGCTAGAAGGCGCTATCTGAGGGAGATCATCTTGATGTTGCTGCTGCTGAAGGGAGGCTGTGTAGCCTACGCCCACGCGACCCATTCCCTTATCATGCATCACAACTCGCTTCCATTTCGCAACAACAGTGTCGTAATCCCATCTCGATGAGGTAGGGGAGATCTGGCTCTGGTACGCGTCGAGCTCCTTGGCGACATCCCGCGGAAGAGGCAAGGTGTCAGGCGGGAAGAGTGCAAACTCTCGCGGCCATTGGCAGGAACCGAGTCGTTCGACCTGGGCGCGGAGTTGGTTGGCTTCCTGTTGGACACGGGCGAGCTGATCGTCCAAGGATTTGCGCTTGTCCATTTCGCGAGCGAAAGCGCGCGTGATCTCGAGTTGCCAAGCATCTTTGCGCATTTCCTGGGACAAAGAGGCCCAGTGCTTGAAGGCGAGTTCAAGATGACGGAGGCTGAGGTCTTCGTGTTGTTGGGCGCTGCGGCTGATCATACTGGAGTCGAGCCCGTAGGTCGATGGGCGGCCGGAATGAGGGTGAGAACCGGACTCAACGGAAGAGAGTTGGTCGGACTGCCATTGTTCAATTTTGGCGCGGAGAGCTTGTCGGACAATTTCGAGGTGCTCGACTCCCGGAGGTTGGAGTGGGAAAGATGTAGGTGAGGGGAATGGGTTGGTCGCGAAGAGGCTGGGCGGAGGAGGAAGAAGCTGCAGACAGAGGGAGGGAAACGTTTGCGATTGGATGTCAAAGTCAAATGGAGAGAGTCGGGGGCGCATTCGAGAGCTAGAGGGACCAAGAATGTCAGATCGTTCATCAAAACGCGCCAAGGGCCAGATGGGAGGTGGTCATACGTTGCAGCCTTGATGTTATCTAGCACCTCGCGCAAAGCCAATTCCAGCGCCCGCATGGTGTCCGGATTACTCGAATTGTGTCTATCCGTGAAGGTGAAGGATCCGGTTCGAGACTGCGAAGGCGCAATGCGCGAATGGGCGGAGGTGCCCTCCTGCGCCTGGCTCGGATTCGGGATGTCGTTGATGACTCCGGTCGCATGCCACGTAGGGGTGTTGAACATCATCCTATACGCGCCGTCGCGTGGCTTCGTGCCCGAGTCGCCCGAGCTGAATAGGTCTTGTTGACGTTTGCCCGGTGTTCGCTCGGGGGTGTCGCGTCTGCCGGACGAGGTGCGGGCCTGGCGTCGCGTGATCTCACTTCGAATGCGTCGAATCTCCTCGACATCGTGGATGCCATCGGGTTTCTTCTTGAACATGAATTGATCGAGGTGGCGTCCGAGGGAGGATGAGGTGAATGCCTGGTGGCAGTATTTGCATTGCCGATCTTTGAGGGCCGGGTTCTTCGCGGAGCTCGACGGGTTGTGATCGTCTGCTCCGACGGACCCCTCGGGGGTGTTGGTGGGACGCGACGAGGCGCTTTCTTCCATGGCGAACGAGGCTGCCTGAGATTGAGGAGGGATAATTGATTGTGAGTGCGGCGAAGGGTGAGGGTTGTGGAGAGACGCGTGCGCTAGGAGGGTTACTGGAAGATGGCGTGGACTGGGAAGGTATAGCTCAATGCATGCATGACACAAACCAAATGGAGCGAATGAGAGGCAAGCGAGATGGCTGGATTATGGAGAAGGAATTGAGGATGGCATGCGAGGAGATGCGAGGTGATGCAGTCCGAAAGAGGGGGAGAAGCGATGAGAAAGAGGAGAGGAGAAACACACGAGGGAGGAGAAGAGGAGAAGAGGAGAGAGAGAGAGAGAGAGAGAGAGAGAGAGAGAGAGAGAAGAAGGGAAAGAAGGAAGGGAAAGGAAAGGAACGTGACGATGGATGGAGGAAAAGAAGCGCCAAGCCGAGACAGTAAGTGAGTGGGGTCTACCTAGTACTGGGTGGTCTTTCCGCTTGCTTGCTTTTGCTTGTCTTGCTACTTGCTATTGCTACTTGTTACGGATACTCTTCAACACATTCTTCTTCGCGCAGGCACTTGAAGACTCTCCTAAGTACCGTCAGTACCGTCAGTACCGTCATTGTTACTGTCTGCCTCAGAACAATTTCTTGGTGATTTTAAGCTTGGTTATTGTTCGTTCGAGGCTGCCAAGTACCTAGTACCTAGTACTTAACCAGGCCAGTCTCGAATTGACTAATCATCTTTTACCCAACTTAACTACTGTGTATACTAGTATAGTAGGTAGTAACTTAACTTATATCATGCCAATCTCTCTCTCTCTCTCTCTCTCTCTTCTCTATTTATATTCCTCTCTAAACACCATCACCCGCTCAACTTCCTCCCCATCACCAGAATCCTCCACCCAAGCCCTCCATAACCCTCCGCAATTGAAGTCGAACACCACTTTTCCCCGTCGGAGCTTGGTTCGGTCGTTATCATCACCATGATCCATGGCCACGGAATCCTCCAACTCAGCCTCTATACCAATAATACCCCCCTGACCTTCGCCCGTTGAGCCCCAACGATCCCCGGCCGAACGCTGCAACTCGCCGCCGGGCCCAGCAACGGCACTGACAGCCTCAGCCAACGAGGGTTTGGGGGTTGAGAAGCGGGAGATGGCGCAAGCCGTCCGTGCCGCCGCCGTGCGAAGGAAAGAATCCCCATTGCCCGTCCCCGACACCGCAACCGCACGCCGCTTCTGCGCAGGAGTCGGCTCCAGCGGGTGCGCAATCAGCCATTCCTTCTCCGACTTTGGTGCAGTATCATCACCATCGTAACCCCGTCGAGCCAACCCATCCTCTTCCTCTCCCCACAAAGCCTCAAACATCCTATCAGCCCCATCCTTCACAAACCCCGGCAAACAATCTCCCAGAGTCAGATCCCAAAGCCCTCCGGCCTTCTCCCCCTTCTCGCCATCCACCAGACCACCACACCCCATCCCCTCAACCCAGTCCTCCTCCCACGCCTCAGCCCAAAACCCCGCCCCCAGGGTCGGCGTATCCCCAATCCTCCCCGGCAACTTATTCGTCAAGCCGCCGGTACTCGTAGCAACCGCCAGCCCGCCCCCGCGATCCAAACAGACACAGCCCACGGTCCCCTGACTCATCGAGACAGTCTCGGCCTCACCCCGCAACCCCCGCAGATGCTCCTCCCAGCGCCGCTGCGTGAAGAACCACTCATCGGGCATGAACTCCAACCCCCACTGCCGGGCCAACACATCTTCCACATAAGGAGCCACCAGCTGCGAGTGCATACTGCCGCCATCCCCACGCCCATCCGCACCGCCAGCACCCCGCTGCCCCCGCCCCTCCCGTTCCAGCACCTCCCTCGCCAACCGAACCGGATGCCTCACATTCCGCAGCCCCATCACGCCGACGCCGCGCTTGACCACCGCCCGTTCCGACAGCGGATGCCCCGGGTGCACCGAGGTGACCATGAGCGAGGCCTCCATCTCGATGGTGCCGGCGGCCGTGAAGACGCTGCCGCGGCCGCAGTTGAAGAGCGGGTCGTCCTCCATCAGGGAGACGGCGTGGACGGCGGCGTCGAGGGCCGAGGCGCCGCCCTCCAGCAGGGCGCGGGTGGAGCGCAGGTAGTCGAGGAGGGAGGCGTGGTATTGCGCGTAGAGGTCGGGTGGGAGGGTGGCGCGGTGGATGGCGCCGGCGCCGCCGTGGAGGATGAGGGTGGGTTTGAAGAGGGCGGGGAGGGGGGAGGAGGGATTGTGGTTGTGGCTGTGGTTGTGGTCGGAGGGGTGGTCGGAGGGGTGGGAGGGGCGGGAGTTGGAGGTCATTGTTGTGGGTGGTGGTGGTGGTGCTGGCAGCTGGTTGTTTGCGTATACCGGGTGTAGGATCTGTAGAGAATTAAGATTCAGGCTGGTGGTGTGCTCAGCAGCCTTTGGGAGTTATGAGTTTATGAGTTCGATTGGAAGAGGCGCTGAGAGGGGGAGGGATAAAGGTCGGCCGGGGGTTGATGGATTGTCTTGCGCGCGGCTTATCGGCTGGCACTGCACACGCTCTTTGCCTGATTGGGATGGGTCGTCTGCCGTCACTCACTCACTCACTCACTCCGTCACAATCTGCTGCACAAATCAACGTCCCGATTAGCAATAGTCAATGACTACCAGAGGTAAAACTTCACTGTGTACGAAGTATCACATTATACCTGTTATCTGCATGTTAATGTACAAGAAAAATAAAAAGAGATAAAACAGTTCCCCCCGACTGATCCGGAGAGAACCTCTTCTTTTGAGATCTGCCCCTCTCAGAAAAGAAAAACACACAACAGAGAAAAATACACAAGGATGCAAGGCTGTGTCATCCAAAATCGCCGACAAAAACCACACTTCTTTATAGAAAAGACATCGTAAGAGAGGGAGAGAGGGGAGGAGGATCGAAGCAAGGAGTCGAAAGGAACCTCTATACCATGCATCCTGAAATGATATGAACCAGCCCAACACCAGAGAAGAGAGACCACGGATAAGGATATGAGAAAGATGGGCATATTGCTGACAACGCGGGGATTCGTACGTTCCTAACTAGCATGAAATGAAGGAGGAGAGTTTTAGGTGGTGGTGGATCAATTAAGCGACGGCCTTCTCGGGGGTCGGGGGAGGAGGAGGGAGCTAAAAGTCGATGAAATCATGGAGGTTAGCTCCTGATAAACTTTCCCAAGAAAAAGCCCGGGGGTCTTGATTCTTGTGCCAAACAAGCCACTGGCCAAACCATGCCCCGGGACAACAAAACCGGAATTAATTCTCACCTCGAGCTTTGTGTTGTCGGCCATCATTCTCTGGAACCCGATACCGACACCCTCAATAACAGCCAGGAAGACAGCACACATGATGGCCGAGTTACGAGCAGCCTTGACACCACCACGGACAGCCAGAGCACCACCAGTGAAGAAACCAGCAATAACTGCGAAGTCAATTAGCCATGTCGTCATGCCATGAAAACGCGCGCGATGCCGCGCCGGTCGCTTTCGTGTACAGCTGTACAACAACGGATGAAAGAAACATACTGGCATTGTAGGGATCCTCCTTCTTTCTGATACCCTTGATCGCACAGTCGAAGGTCGAGAAGAGACCACCCCAAACACCGAAGTTACCACCGAGGACGGGCGCACGAGCCTTGATGGCTGTGATGGCACCTATCCGACGCTCTCCGTAGGGGCTGTTTCTGAAACCCTTGACACCGTGCCAGACGGCACCACCGATAGCCTATACAGAAGGAAACAGTTTAGTTTGTGGGATCGATGGCGGAAATGCAAATGCAGCTGAGTGTGATTCAGCTTGGGAGTCCATTGATGACGTACACCCATACAGAAGGCACCGCCGAAGTCGCTCAGGGCAACCCAGGGGCAGGGATCTCTGGAGTGATCCATTGCGATATATGAATTAAAGTGAAGAGGAGGTGGAGAGAGAGGTCAAATGGCGAGCGTGCCCGGAGAAAGTCAAGTAGCTGTGGCAGGAGCTGCACGGTCGAGTAAGAGGTTGGGAGGACGGTGGTTTCGCAGTACCGTAAAAATCGAACTCGACGGAAATGTGATGCGAGTTGCAGGGAGAGAGAACGGGTCGGGAGATCGAGTCGAGGTGGTGCACGACAGGCTGGCAGAAGCAGTCTTTAATGGACAAACTCTGGGGTCGGGGAACGGAGAGCGAAGGCGGATCGCAACAATAAGTTTCTGGCTTTTTTCGCTGGGAAAACGTGACTTGTTCCCCCCCCCCCCACCCCCAAGTCACGTGCCGATAACCAGCCCGGAATCTCCCTTCCAAAACATTGTCCAAGCCAGTCCGAACCCAGTCTGTGAGTGGCGAGTCGGGAAGACGAGGAGGAAAATATGCTTCCCAACTGACAGGGATTCCATCAAAGTTTTCTTCCTCTCCTCTTGTCCTTGCGTGCTTTTCTTAGAGTCAAAGGCCCGAGCGCTTTGTCTGGCCGACTCATCCGGGCTTTGTGTCTCACTGACGCCATGCTGATGATAATAGATCCATGTCGGTTGTTGCCAGCGAGTGTGCTATACAATCTTCCTTTGTGTTATCTACCTTACAACAGGCTGGAGATGTGCACTACATTTGCCATATTTAGCCTTAGAAAGCTCCACGTCAAGTTAACGCAATACGTCGCTCAGCCTATGCATAGCGTTGAGAGCTTTCTGTTCATACTTCACAACCATGGAGGCACCACATATCTGCGGCATATTTGAATCAACAAAATCAACTCGCTAAGCAAGATAATGCATGATAAAGTTTGGTTTTTTCAGTACATGGTACAGTAAGTGGGTCCAGCCTCAAGATAGATGGCATCAACTACGATGGCAAGTTCCAGATGAAGTTCAACGCTCCTCCTCCATAAGCAGGAAATTGCCCACAACTATTGATTCCAAAGGGTGCCATCGACGGATCAAACGGTAGGGAAAGCCAATCATCCCCGGCGATATCGTTGAGCTGGGGAAACAGGCTCACGTCCGCCAGGCTCTGCGACACAGGGGTCTCGGCCATGGGAGCAGGGTTGTCGCTTTCTGTGCTCTGTTGAGGAACCATTGAGTTGCGAGTCGTGGTTCCATGACTGTTCTTGGCAGATTTGGAAGATGCAAGCAGGTTTCGACGCAGGCGCGACACGTGCATCTCCAGCAATTCGGCGTATCGGGTGCTCAGGTGAATATCGTCAAGAGCATTCGACTTCAGCACCTGTACGCAGCGCTCCAGTATCTCTAGTGATTCGCGCAGTCTTGCTGGACGAGTGCCTAGACTTAGAGCTTTCATCAGAAAGATAGAGGAGCTGGTGATTCTTAAGAAGATTCGGACCGGAGAGAACCGCAGAGCTCCCGAGTCACCAAGTTCGATGACCTTCTGCAGGATCTGACAGCATCCATCAATCACTTCCTGAATATAGTTGTAGTCAATGGGATCGATATGCATAGCACGGACTTCTTCCACGTTCGAGTCGTTGTCCGCAACTATGCGCTCCACAACTGCCTGCATCCCCACTGAGTGCGTGTAGACCCGCACGAAGTTGTATTCAATGAAGAGGATGTCGTAGAAATGTTTGCTAAGCACTGCACCATAGATCAATCAGCATATCATGGCAAAGACTGTTTTCGCAGTAGCCAGGGAACACATACCGTCATGCCGAAGATGCTGCTCCTTCCATTTCTGCAGAAGAGGGCAGAAGTGGTCCAGCAAGTCGATATAACGCCCACTGTGCAGCTGCTGCCTCGCGAACGTTATCGAAGGGAAGAACATATCCGTCACATTCTTGGCCAATTTTGTGAGATCCATCCAAGAGTCCATCAACGCCAACCATTCATCTTCTGAATGGCTCACATCCCTAGTCGTCTGCCGACCGAGTATTGTATGATTCAAGCTCTGCGGCATGAGTGAAACACATCCAATCCGCCAAGCCAGCTGATTGATGTAGACGTACAGAAGGCGCTGCACTCGAAGCCTGCGCAGTTTGATTTGATCATTGGAGATGAAACCCTCATATAATGACGCATAGTCGCATTTCTTATCATCGAGTTCGAAGATCCCCAACTCGTGTGCTAGCGACAGCGCGGATCCCAGTAACATCCAGGACATCTGATCCGATCTTCTGGCAGGCTCGACCATGTCTTCCAGCCATCGGTTTGACGACGAATCATCTTGATTCTGGGGCTCAGGGACCAAAACCAAGTCTGAGTCCCACCCGTCACTTTCAGGGGGAAAGTGCAATGATCGGGGATGCCATTCCGACATCAAGAGCAGTGCTTCAATGGTCCCGATGCTTCTATTTTTCGCATGCGACGATCTTTCCTGCCCGAATACCAGTCGCATCACGAGATGTTGGCAATGCTGCCAGAGACGGTGGTGAATAAAGAAGTTCCGGGACTCGCCTCCAGCACCGGGCAACACATGATACCGAGACGATAGCATCAATATAGCGCAACACAAAGCCGGATCGCAAGTAATTAGATGTTGGTGATTACCATGATCGGCATAAAAGTTGGTCAAGATCGGGGATAGAGGAACCATGTTCTTGAAAAACCTGCAAGCGTCAAGATATGTTTATAACAAGGTCGAAGTAGATTTACTTACAAGTCAATCAAGGTTACCGCTTCTCTTGAAGTGAACCATCCCATTCTGACGAATCGGCAGGTCTCCCAGACCTTGAGCACATCATCCGATGCAGGTGAAAGCTGTACCGGGCGCTTCGCCTTGGCCAAGGCTTCTGTAGGGTACTTGAACTGTGGCGGGTTTGTGGCACTGTTGTCCACGGCTCTGCCATGCGAGGCATTATCCTGTATAGTTTGTGATTGCGACTGAAACTCATTGGCCATGTTCTCCTGGCTGTGGGCTACGGCGGCCTCAAAAAGGATATTCAAAGCGTCATTCCCACTCGAGACCACGGTCCGCATCATTGAATTTGCCAGATTCGACGTTGCTGGGTGCTGGCTCGAGCGTGTCTCAGTGTCATAAGAGTGGTGGAAGCTTCTGTCACCATCTGCATGGTTACTATTTTCACCACCTGGACGCTGGTCTACCCCTTGCGGCATGCTATCCGGCAATTTCCGTGTTCGGGATGCGTATAAATCAGGAACAGAAGAGTGGTGCGATCTCCTAGTATTTTGTTGTGGTTCAGTGCCTTCGCTACCTACTCTTTCGTCAAAAACTTGTAAGACATCCTCTGGCACGCTTCGACGCCGAGTCCGTCGGATATCAAAGGGTTGAGGCTGAAGTGAGCTGTTACTTCTACCAGTAGTGCTGTTGTCCATGGTACGGTCACCAAACACCTGGAGCACATCATGAGTAAGATCGCGGCGCCCAGTCCGTGTTTCAGAAGTGTGATTCGTATGCGATCCCCCGCTTTCATCCTCAGGCATGCTGCCATTACCAAAGGGGCTGTCAGCGCCGACTTTTAAAACGTCGTCGGGTAGCTCCCGGTCCTGTCTAGTATAGTCCGACAACCTGCGACGTGTACTCGGCGACGGCATGGGTGCATCTTCCGAAAGACCTATTGAAAGGAGTCAGCATCAGGTTCTGAAGCATTGCCTTATACAAAGGAACCAAGCACAAGCAGAGACGGTAATAGATGCACCAGCACCAGCATAGCTGAAGACCTACCGCGTTTATTGCTTCTTTCCCACGCCCGCTTCTCACTGAAGATGCACTCCCTCTGTTCCCTTCGACATTTCGCGCAGGGAGGCCCTATCGGAAAGCCATCCTGGTCGGTTCCGAGGTTGCATTTGGCCTTGCGTTGCCGACACGAGAGACAGGCCTTGTAGGTCCGTTGGTAGGTCCGCGTCGGAGTGTCGCCGTAGCGGGCGGACGGCCTCCTGACTTCCATGATGGGTGGAGTTCCAGCTCAACCAATAACATCGCAGAAACAAGTCAAAATTCCGACCCAAGAATTTGGCAGCAAGGCCGCAATCGTAGAATGCGGGAGCCTGGGAATCAGCCCAGATGGGTACCGAACGACTTGCGCGTGGAAGAGAGAGAAACGCAACGAGGGGGGGGACCGGAGCGGAGACCAGGAGGGTAAACGGAAATAGCCGTCGTTTCCCGCTCCCTTGGCGGAGAAGGGAAACATCCGGCGCGAAGCTTCAGTTTGTAAGTGGCCTGTAACTCATACCTTCTCCAATAAGGCAATTTCCCTAAGCACTAATGCTCAGAGCCATAATTTAGGACATTAGACATTCATTGATTTGTCCGCACAGGATGTATCTGGTACTTGGCAGCCTTCATTGGAGGGGAGACAAGATAGACAAAGGTAAAGAAGCTCGACACAGCTTCGAGATACGGGAAGGTTTATGCAGATTCCTTGATTAGACGTGCAGCTCGATGCATCAGCACTGTAATATTTTCACAAAACGCAGGGATGGGATGGCATGACAACAAAGATTAACAGCAAGTTAATACTACTTGTGATTTCTAGCCTGGGAAACCGAAAACATGCATTTCATATTCATCTAATTTTGTAGGAGACTGAAGACCCATTATAATCTGTCCTGATTTATAATTCAATGAAATCTTCATCGACATCCCAGAAACCCATGCAACACGTCATCATCAGCTTGACTATCGTCCGAAATTATTCATCAAAGTGCGTTTATTTGTGGGCTGGCTTTGATTAGTTCAGGGATCTCTCTGACTGTGGATGAAAATGACTTACGGATACCCTCCTCAGGCTGGGGTTCAATGCCGACAACTTCGGCGGCGTTCTTGGTCTCAGCGGCAGTCTTGTCGTCCTTCATGAATGGGAAGGCCAGGACTTCCTTGATGCTGTAGTTGTCCGTCAAGAACATGACCAGACGGTCGATACCCATACCCCAACCACCGGTGGGAGGCAGACCGTACTCCAAGCTGGTACAGAAGTTCTCGTCAATGAGCTGGGCCTCGTCATCACCCTGGTCCTTCTGGCGGGCCTGCTCCTCGAAGCGGAGACGCTGGTCGAAGGGGTCGTTCAACTCGGTGTAGGCGTTGACAATCTCCTTCTTGCAGACGAAAGCCTCGAAACGCTCGCACAGACCGACGTTCTCGCGGTGGTACTTGGCCAGAGGAGACATCATCTGCGGGTGGCCAGTGATGAAAGTGGGGTTGACACAGGTCTCCTCAATGAACTCGCCAACCAGCTTGTCGAGCATACGGGCGTTGGTCATGGGGGGAGAGCACTCAACACCGGTCTTCTTGAGGATGCGCTTGAGGAACTCGTTGGTCTCAGCGGTGTGAAGCTGGTCACCAGCAGGGAACTTCTCGCCGGTGGCTTCCTCCAGAGCGGGGATCATCTCCACACGGCGCCAGGGAGCCTTCCAGTTCACGTTGTAGACCTCACCAGACTGGGTGTGGAAAGTGGTCTCGTAGCCTCCAGTGACGTGCTTGACCAAGCCAGAGACAAGCTCTTCGGTCAAGTTCATGACATCGTGGACATCGGCATAGGCCCAGTAGAATTCGCAAGTGGTGAATTCGGGGTTGTGGGTCAAATCAATACCCTCGTTACGGAACTGACGACCCAGTTCGTAGACACGCTCCAGACCACCAACGATCAGCATCTTCAGGTACAGTTCGGGGGCAACACGCATGAACAGGTTCATGTCCAGGTCGTTGTGGTGAGTGATGAAAGGCTTGGCGGTGGCACCACCGGCAATGGCGTTCATCATGGGGGTCTCGACCTCGACGAAATCGCGGCTGTCAAAGTAGTTGCGAACGTAAGAGACAATCTTAGCGCGAGTGAGGAAGACGTTGCGGGAGCGGTCGTTCATGATGAGATCCAGGTAGCGCTGGCGGTAACGCTGCTCCTTGTCCTGCAGACCGAAGTGCTCGGAGGGGATGGCGTGCAAGCAGGGGGCGAGGAGAACAACCTCTGAGGCGAAGATGGACAGCTCACCATCCTCACGGTTCTTGGGGTTACTGCGACCGGGGAAACCGACAATGCCAACAATGTCACCACGGCGAAGGTGCTCGTGCTGGGCCTCGAAGGAGGCGTCGCCGGCAATGTTCTGAGCCTGGCACACAACCTGCACCTTGACACCCTCGGCACGGATATCGTAGAAGATCAGCTTGGAACCGGACGCGCGCTTGGTGAAGATACGACCAGCAATGCGGACGGTGACATCGGGCTTCTGCTCGCCCTTGGCGAGACCCTCATACTCCTTGAGGTACTTCCGGAGATCATCGGTGACCTGGAACTTGTGGGGGTAGGGGTCGGGCTGCTTGGTCTCGCGAAGCTTGTTGATTCTCTTGCTGCGAATCTCGAAATATTGCTATAATTGTTCAAGTTATCGGATATAATAAGCAAGTATTGCGCGACGGCATGACTCAGGTGATGGCGGGGTACGACTTACGTTGGGGGTGAGGTTGGCCTCATCGTCTTCAGCAGAGGTCTTCTTGACAGGCTTGGGAGGAGCAGCAGCCTCACGCTCCTTCTTCTTGGCCTCCTTCTCGCGCTGCTTCTGGCGTCTCTTGAGTTCGGACTTGGAGACCTTCTCTCCGGTGACCTCGTCGAGGATAAGGTTGGCCAACGAGGCCTCAGCCTGTTGGACGGCAGTGTTGTCGGCCATGATGAATCAGTGAGGCTTAAAGTACCGCAACAGGGACTTAGACTCCTCTATGACAAATGAAAGACGTTTAGAGAGAAGGAGGGGAAAGGAGATGACACACGGAGCAGCGGGTTTGGTGGGTTGGAAGTCGGCGAGAGAGAATTTTGGGCGGGAGACAAGGCGGGCGATGGTGATTGGGTAGGGAGGGGCAGCTCCCCCACGCCCGCCCCTCCTTCGATTCAATCATGGATGACTCAATAATTTCACGCCCGGCGGCTTGTCGGGCTATTGCTGCCTCAGGCGAAGAAGAAATGCTCCTTCTGCACGAGAACACATGTTAAGAGTTGAGAATTACAGAAACACGGAGTAGCATCCCAATCTTGAATATTTTGGTTACTTCAGATCTTCGTTCTGTAAACTAGTATAGTGTACAATCCGATCCCAACGCTATCAATCCTTATCATTGGCAGGCAGGGCTTAGGGCTTAGGGCATGCGGATGGGGTTTTGATCTATCGCTCTCTCCTTCTATAATCGCGTACCCCGCCTTTCACCTTTCAACCCACCCCAAGTTTCTTGTCTCTGGCTCTAATCAATTGTCCCGATCAATCGTCTGCATATAGACTCTCACACAGACGTATCCATACTCGAAGCGAAAGGTGCCCAATCGTCCTGAGGTTGGGACTTGACCGTCATATTGTCGTACACGTCTTCGGGCTCGTCCTTCTTGGCAGCCGACAGCCATGTCTGCGCCTTGACAATCTTCTCCTTCTCGCGTTGGAGAACCAGTCGGCGATGTTGGCGCTCTGGCTCCTCTGCCATGAGATCGCAGCATCTCTCAAACACTAGGCAGGGAACGTTAGCAGTTGCCCTGTTCGAAACCATAAACAACACTCACTGTCATGATCGTTGATATGTAGCTCGCGTTGAACTTCTTCGATCAATTGACCGCGGCACTTGGAGAAGAGCTTTGTATGGGTGCTCTGGCAGATCAAGTCGACGAAACGAGAGCTCGCAACATCATAGTAACCTCGCGCATACTGAAGGAGAGGGCATTTAGCCACGTAATCGTAGATCCCCATGAATCTCAACCTACCGCCATGATTCTCATTTCCGGGAGGTACTGATCCGGACCAAGTGCTGCCTCCAACTCCTGTGGCTTCTCCATCATGCTACTGAGTTCCTTCTCACGGCGAATATCCCCCTGTGGGTATCTGCCAATACGGTCTTGGTACAAAGCGTAGCGATTGCTGTTCCGAGCGCGTACGAGAACACCAAACCCATCGTTCTTGGCCTGCTCTAGCGCTATTCCGTTCATCGTAAAAGGATTGTTATGTTCCATCTCATATACTTCTTCTGCCCAGTTGATGTGCTGCTGGTGAAGCTTCTGTAAGAATTGCTCCACAATTCGGCGTATTTCGCGATAGAGGTTAGTCCGCTGATACTGCACAAAGACCTCATCAACTTGCTCCAGCAGTATCCTTTTCACTAGGTTATGGCTTTCATCCAAGAAAATGGTCAATGGCGTTTTCCAGTGTTTCACGCTCCGCTGATTCAGTATTTCGATTGCTTTTGGATCGATTTGGTCTGGAAGACACCCTCGCGTGGCAGCTTCGTTGCATTCCCGAATTTCTTCCCAGGTGAAATTCTTGATATCGCGACGGACCTTATCAAATGGCCTAAAACTGTCTAAGTCCGGTGTAAATCTCCTCTTGGCATCCGGTGTATCGCCGTGGTTCAAGGCCTTGCGCTTTGCTAAAGTTGCGAGAGGGGGGTGGACTTCAGTGACTTCGCTATCTGAGTCATCAGCCTTCTGACTGTACATCGCTTTCTCACGCTCCTCGGCTTGAGATAATATCTTGATACTTGGCCGGGTCTCTCTCAGCACCTTTTTGAAGTCGATTGCTAGATGAGACCACATCTTCAGCAGCGGATAGTCAACCGAGCCGCCGTCCATATGCGCCTGCACGCGCTCCCTGAAATTGTTCAGCATCTGACACAGAATGAATGGACTGCTCGCTGAAGGAGGATCCGGCAGGGTTTGGAGCTCAGCATCGATACGTTGAGATTTGGCTTCAATCTGTTCGATGACCTTAGGAAGACAACCTTGAATTTGGTCCAGTAGAAGGCTTGAGAGTGCTGTCTGCAACTTTCTGGTTCCAAACTTCTCTTGATATGCGACAAGTTCTGTTGCCCACGGCTCTGAAGCAAAGAACGCATCCTCTTCACCACGCGCTTGAGCATGCTGGATCGTGGGGTCTGGATTGTTGCGGATCACATAGTAGCCGTGTCCAAGCTTGAATTTGTCTCCTTCCAAAATCTCCAGCCATTGAACGTATGACTCCCCGGATTGGATTCGATCGGGCTTTGTAAGCACTCCCAAAGTTCTCGCCTTTGCACCCTTTACCTCCCTCATGAGGCGAGCAGCACTCGAGTTGGTTGCATCATTTGTCATCGGCAAGGTCAACAGCACGATGCAGTTCGCTTGAGTAATGTATTCTTTAACAAGATTCTCGACCATAGCAACCAGATATCTGTCCCTTTCGTGCTCGGCCTGGCTTATAACACCAGGTAGATCGTAAAATGACAAACTTGGGAAGCCAGGAGCGGAAATATCGAGTCGCACTACATTGGGTGAGAACTTGGCCTGACAATAATTCTCATCGGTTTCAAAATTCTGCCCAGGAATGTACTCAGCTGTCGGTCTTCCTGGGTTCAGGATAGCCAGTTGGGCCCATCGGATCGCCTCTTCGACATCATCTCTATCGCTCAAGGTAATGAACAGCTCGTCCTCTTGATCCTGAACATGCCAAGGGCCGAAAGGATGTGACTTCTTAGACACTTTATCAACTCTTTGACTCGTGTCATAAAAGTATTTCCTCGACAGGTATACACGGCACGTCCAAGGTTGGTCGGGATCGCTTTCAGTGAGATTAATCTCCATCGGGCACCGAGTACAGGTTCCTGCCGCGCGTGGGACTTTGATCTCGCTCATACCCTCGATAAGAGAGCTCTTGCCCGCACTCTGATCGCCTATAACGCAGATTCTGGGGAGAGCAATCTGGCTGTCTTCAATACCGAGGTGCCGCAGATCTTGGATCTTCTTCACCAGAGTCTTCATGTCGTGAGTGATGATATTGATCAAGTCATTTTTCAATGCCGATGGACGAGACATCTCGGCCGACTTTGCTCGGATCACGGCTTGGGGATGTGAGTCAGAAGTGAAGCCCAGTTTGATAGAAGAACCTGGCACTTACTCGATAAATGCTCCGCCATTTTGACAGACGGTGGCTGGATCAAAGGTGATGTTGACACGGAGATGGCACGAAGTTCAACCGAAATAGGGGAGAGTGAGAGGCTGTAGGAAGCTGTAGGTATGGGCGCTTCACACAGAAGAAGAAAAAGAGGTAAACTTCGACAAGAAGATCCCCCACGACAGGGTGAGTAACAATTTGTATGGGCGATAATCTAGAGAAGAAGATGAAGAGGAGAGGGAGGAGAAAATGATTGGAAATGAGATCCAAAAGTAGGCAGATTTATACCGAGGGGATGTGGAAGGGAAGTTGACAAAGCAACACCGGTAGTATATTATTCTGTTACACACACAGAGGGCCGTAAACGACACATTCACTTAGAGTGGTAGAGATACAGGTGGCTGTGGAGTTGATAGATCAACTTACAGCCCTGCAGCAACCCTTACCAAACTCTTTAGTGCTAGCGGCACTACGACCATTCACTGAAAAGCTGTCAGTGACATGCCGTTTCCATTACATCCAGATATAATCAGCTTGAACAGACGAGGTATCCTCTAAAACATCTGCTAAGCATCCACCATCTTGGGACAAATCTACGAGTACTCTCATGTTCGCTCATGACATCATTGGACATCTTGATTCTATGCTAAGCCGAGATCAGCCCTTTCTAAAGTTCGTACAAGCGCAGAGCTGGAGCTGAAGCCGAAGCAGCTTGGTAGATTAAAGAATAGACTTCTGGTAACGTAACTAAGGTATGGATTCATCACTATTCCTCCTCTTCTTCGTCATCCGGATTATAGTCCATATTCTCGTCTTCGCTCTTCGGGCTGAAAAATTTGATGGCACCCCGACAAGCAAAACGCGGAATAAGCCCTGCCATCCACTCACAGAGTAGATCCGTATCTACCGAGTCTTGGAGATACGTCAAGATTTGGGAAGCTATCTTGCAGTGCCAATGGGATCATGTCACCAGCATAGATATAAGGCACGGGATCTTGGTCAGGGGTGGGAAATAGGCGCTGTTGAACAATATTCAGGATTAGTTATCACCACTTCTACTGCAAGTACGTAGGACAACTTACAGTACGGCTAGCCGCGTAGTCGTGGCTTAGAGTGCATCAAGTCCCAAACCTCAATGTCAGCTGAAATGGTACCGATCCAATCTTCAACTTGGATGTGTTCTAAAACTTCATATTCAGTAAACGGCTCGGGCGTCACAGACGCATCGTGGGCGCTATTCTCCAAGTATGTGGCATTGTTTGGTTTCCTCAGGTCGTTGCCGAAGCGCAAGAGAAGTCTAGCAGCGCGGTCTCGAAAACCTGGATCTGTGTGTGAGTTGCGAGAATTCAGATCTTCTTCGATCTTGACCAGAATAGCCAGTTGCGCAGGCTGATAATGCTCGAAGTATTGGAGCATATCTCGGTGAAGATCTTCTCGCGATTCTGAAAATCCGACTTCCAGCACGATTGGATTATAGATCGTATGATTACTTCTAGAAAGCAGTTCTTTGAAAGGAGACAAGCTTCAGCAATGCTCAAGGTGCATGGATGGATGAGAATTTATATGTTTGGAGAGGAAATCCTTTTCAGAGAAAACCTCGCATGATGGTGGATACTGTAAGGCAGAGACATGGTGGATGGTGTGAGAGAGAGATGGTGGGTGGTGGGAGATGGAGACGGGAAGGAAGAAGGAAGGTAGGAGGAGGGGGGAGGAGCCACTACTTATACAGCAGTCTTGACCAGGGGCTCATTACCAAGGTGATGAATATCTTGTGTGCCAGGGAATGCTTTTGGATCGTGTGAATAGGGTCTTATCATCGTGATTAAGCCCTGTAAGGGCAATGAGACAGTGATATATTGAATACATTCAGTGACTGCTTCTAGCAATACCTCTAAAAGGTGACCAGTGTTACGCTTGATAATCCTTTTTGTGTTGTAGTTTAGGAATTCCATCCAATGCCAGGCTATCAGCATTTGGAAGCACGTATGCTGATGAATCCCCGAAGTCTCTGCAACAGTATCTACCTTGAAATCCCAAGATTAGGCTTATTAGGCTTATTAGTACTACAGAGAGAGCATATTCAGAACATGCCATAGTCACTGTTTTAATATACTAGTAGTATACTTGAAGGGCAGTGCAGTGCTCTATACTGTAGGTAGAATAGGCCCACCTGGGGCAGGGTCGACCGAAAGCGGTGAAGTTCCCCCTTTCCAAACCATGGATCCTCTTCCTCCGCAGCGCTAAGACGGTAAGGTAAGGTACCAGTGGCCCGACCAGGCTGGCAGCCTCCAGCTGAAGGTCGTATCTACTACGTAGGTAGTCTAGCTGCCCGGCGGGCGGTGGGCCTTCTTTGTCGTCCTCCTCCTCGTCGACTAGTCTAGTTCACTGTCTAACTACTAGTTAGTTAGTCTCCATCGCCCCTCTCAAGTCTCTCCTAAAGCTGCTGGCTGCTTAAATCTTTCTGCTTCAGCTTCTCAGACCTCGTCCTTCATCCTCTTCTACTCCTCCGCCTCCTTTTTCGTTTGTTAAACTCCCCTCGTCGCTTCAATGCTTCAAGTACCTGTTCGGGAGCACTCCAACGTGGCCTCCACAAAGGCCGTGATCTTGGTAGGCGGCATTGGAAATTTGTCTCCTTTCACACAGCTCACTAATGACCTCGCTACTCGATTTTAGGTCGGTGGTCCGTCCAGAGGAACTCGGTTCAGGCCTCTGTCTCTCGATGTGCCTAAGGTCGGTTGCTGCCCCTCCTTCGTCCTTGAAACTATTCCCCTCCAACCCCTCCCTCCCGCTTGCGGATTGCACCCCCCTCCCCGGCGCCTACGCACGGTTGCTTACCATTTGATCTACCATACAGCCCTTATTCGAAGTCGCCGGACACCCTATTATTCATCACTGCTTGAAAGCCCTTGCGAAGATCCCCGATATTCGCGAAGTTATCCTCGTCGGTTATTATGACGAAACGGTCTTCCGTGATTTTATCAAGGACTCCGCCAAGGAGTTCCCTCAGTTTAAGATTCAATACCTGCGCGAATACACGGCTCTGGGTACCGCCGGTGGTCTCTACCACTTCCGCGATGCCATTCTCAAGGGAAAGCCCGAGCGCTTCTTCGTCCTGAACGCCGATGTCTGCTGCTCATTCCCGCTCGGAGAGATGCTCAAGCTGTTCGAGGAGAAGGATGCGGAGGCCGTCATTCTCGGAACCCGGGTCAACAACGATGCTGCCACCAACTTCGGTTGCATCGTGTCCGATGCGCACACCAAGCGCGTGCTGCACTACGTCGAGAAACCCGAGTCGCACATCTCCAACCTCATCAACTGCGGTGTCTACCTCTTCGCCACCGAATGCATCTTCCCCTCAATCCGCAGCGCCATCAAGCGTCGCACCACCCGGCCCCGCCTGCTCTCATACCCTTCGTCTGAGAACCTGGAATCCTCGTTCGTCGCGGCCGAGGACGACGCTGAGAAGAGCGAAGTCCTCCGTCTCGAACAGGACATCCTGTCCGATCTGGCCGACAGCAACCGCTTCTTCGTCCACGAGACCAAGGACTTCTGGCGCCAGATCAAGACCGCCGGGTCCGCGGTTCCCGCGAATGCTTTGTACCTCCAAAAGGCCTTCCAGGCTCAGTCCGAAGAGCTCACCCCACCTTCCGCCTCCATTGTGCCCCCCGTTTACATCCACCCCTCTGCCACCGTCGACCCCACCGCCAAGCTCGGCCCCAACGTCTCCATCGGACCCCGTGTCGTCGTGGGCGCTGGTGCTCGTATCAAGGATTCGATTGTGCTGGAAGATGCCGAGATTAAGCACGACGCTTGCGTGCTGCACTCGATCATCGGCTGGAGCGGTCGCGTTGGCGCCTGGGCCCGTGTGGAGGGTACGCCAGTCCCGATGGCCAGCCACTCGACCAGCATCATCAAGCACGGCGTCAAGGTTCAGAGCATCACCATCCTGGGCAAGGAGTGTGCTGTGGGCGATGAGGTGCGCGTCCAGAACTGTGTCTGTCTGCCTTACAAGGAACTGAAGCGCGTACGTATCCTCCTCTCCATCTCTCCCTCTCACTCGTCTTCTAAATAGGAGCGCAAGCTAACTCAGCACTGCAGGACGTCGCCAACGAAGTTATTATGTAGAAAGTCGGCCCTGCGCTTGGAAATCTGGAACGTAACGTGTGAACGGATTTTGTCTCAGATGCTTTTCATGAAATGCTTCTCCTATCGCTGCCATGCTCTTCTTGGTTACACTTTAATGATCGATTGATTTTTCTTTCCTGGCCTTCGATTGCGGACTTCTTATCTCGCTTCAGCAAATTCTTTAGAGCTAGTGTTCGTGCTTAGAATGAACGGGGCATGGGTATGGATTGTATGCCCGCCACAAAAAAATTACAAATTAATAACTTAATATCGTTCCAAATCGCGGGTCCGTGTTTAGATAGTAATAGAAAAGGCAACATGTAGATAGATGTCTTCTGTGGTGAGTACATGTGCTGAAATCAACACCGGAAAATGTTCCTAGAAACGCCGGTCTGCACAACAAAAACTTCCTATCCATATCCTGCAATACAAATCATCCTCCAGAGTCTAGGTAGAACCTGCCTGGATAGGAATATGTACCAGACCGAGGCGAGATTATGCATCGTGACATATAGCACCTGGTTGGAAGGATTCGTCGCCTCAGAGTCCGATCCCGGCTGAAACGCAGTAAGTGAAGATGTTCCATTACTGCCCGGTTGATGGCTGATTTGATTTGGGTCAAGTGTGGTAGGGAGGTGGTCTCGAAGACCACCGGCCTCTTCACCGACCGCCGATGCGACATTACGGCGTACTCGATGAGATGGACACGTGCACCAATGTATGCTGAACAGGCGCCGTGAATCACGACGACTTATCTCGGGCCATTTGAGTGGTTTGGAATGTTCAATTCAAAGAATGATAGATCATGTACAATGCGAGATCGTAACGCGTCAAATCCGTAATATAACAGTGTAAGAGCTCTTACAGAAGCGCTTCGCATTCTGAGGCTGCTTCGAATTCTAGCGAGCGCCTACTTCCAAGAACACAAGCTCGTCAGGCCACAGAAGGCAAAGGAAACGAATTTCAATCGCCATCTAGCGATACGCCCCGGCATCATACCCCGTCTGCTCCGCGGGACGGGTGTAGCCCATGGTGGACGCTGAAGCTCCATACGCGCTGAACCGCACCCGCGGCATGGGGTGTTGCGCCCCGAGATCTCCCGCCGCCGCAGCGTCGCCGTACTGTTCCACTTCGCGAGCGTGGTCGTGCTCTGCTGCGGCGCCGGCGTGGTTTCCCAGCCCGCCATACGACGGCGGCGGGGACATATACTGGCCCGACATGTCGGGCGGTGGTGCATCGTGATAGGATTCCTGGCCGGCGGGGTACCCGTAGGGCCCCTGTTGCGCGGGATGCGGCTGGGCGTACAGGTCGTCCGGGTGGTAGGGGCCCACGCCGCCGGACATGACGCTGCTCCCGCGGTTGTGCATCTTGTAGTCGTTGAGGGCGGCGTTGCTGGCCATGGGGTCGTATTCGCCCAGGCGGGTCTGGCGTCGGCGGACGATCACATCGAGGACGACGGCGGCGATGTGGGCGGCGGTCGCGAGGATGGTGAACGCGAAGAGCGCCTTGTAGATGCGGCACACGTTGATGCCGGTTGAGGTGCCCCAGTAAGTGGTCGTGCAGCTGGTCAGGATGGTGTGCGCGAGACTGTAGCTCAGGAGGCCAAGAGAGATGAGCCAGAGAACTAGGAGGATGGAATTGGTGGTTAGGGAGAGGCGTGGGGAGAGGCCATAGAAGCAGTGGGTCAGCGTCGTGAGAATGTAGTTGAGAAGGGTCAGGACGGTGGCGATTAGGAGCTGTTTTATCTTCGAGTTAATTCGGTGTCTGTGTGTCTGTGTGTCTGGCTGGAATCGGGCGTGAATCCGGGGAAGGAGAAGCAGGGACTTACGACCAGGAAGGCCCACGGAAGCTTGTAGCCATGGCTGTGTAGGTTGGTGATGAAGACAGCAAGAATGATGCCTACGATAAAGGTCGAAATGAGACCCGTTGCGCGGATAATGTGGAAGGGTATCGCTGGGTAGTGGGATGGTTTGACAGATGCGGTGGTGCGCATAGTGGGCGGTGGTTATCGGAGGATGTTTCCAATCGCGGTGGGGAGTGGTTTATCAGTAAGTGTTGAATTCCGATCGATAAGCAGTAAACAGATGATCAGACAACGATACTGTGGGAGAATGACAGAGGGGATGGTAGAGAGACAAATGCTCTTGAACCTGCAAGAGGAGAGAATTGAATTCAGGTCATCACAATTCAACAAAGTGGGAAAACAAAAAGAAACAGGAAGGCAGGAAGTGCGAGTGCGAGAGCAAGAAACACAACAATGCAACGCCTCGCTGGGCCGATCACTTTTACACTGCCTGGGCAGGCTCCACAACCACGGCTGTTGCTAAAGAAAGCAGCGGGAAGAGGAGGAGATGACGAACCCAGCCGCGTTTGGCCTGTGGAGTAGGAGGAGTAGGAGTAGTTAGGCATGGCACGTGTCTCGCTTACTTCATCCAGTTCTAGATGCTCTCTTTCTCTCTCTCGTATTGTCGCGGCATGGTTACTAGTTACACCTTACCATACTTACTGACTGACACCATCGTTGCTGATTAATTCCCTAAACCTTCGCACATACCTATAATACTCCCCATAAAACCAGCAGTGCCCTCACAACCAGAACCGATGCCCACTTTTCTCCTAGCTATACGTTGGCTGTCCGACATCAGTCGCGAAGCTACTAAACCATCATGACCTCCATACTTCCAGGTTCCATGCCCTGGCATGAGGGTGAGCAGAAAATGCATAATTTGCTTCACGTTCCCCCACGAGATAACCCCACAGTTCCAAGCCTCACCTATAATGCTGGCTATCTACTGCCACGCGCTCCACTTTTGGCTATTGGGACTATTGATTCCGAAGGACGCCCCTGGACAAGCATCTGGGGCGGCGAGAAAGGATTCGCTAGTCCTACTTCGCAAACCACGGTCGACCTGACCACACCTGTCGACAGGAGACATGATCCCGTCGCTGAAATACTGCTGGGACCACCGGAAGGTGACTTGGCGGATTCCACGCGCGGCGGAAAACTGATGTCTGGATTAGTCTTCGATCTGGAAAATCGGAAGAGAGTGAAGCTTCACGGCAGGTCGATTGCGGGGTCGTTGGAAAGTCCCAGCGCAGTGTCAGGTTCAGACCAGGTGGGATTCGCCCGCCTGACGTTACACATTGATGCAAGTCTCGGTGGGTAGAGATTATTCCATAACATCAGGCATGCGGCACAGCTGACGAATCAGGAAACTGTCCAAAGTATATGAATAAGAAGCAGATCGTTCCTGCCCTTCCAAATCCGAAGCTGGTGTCAAGCTCACCTCAACTGACCCCGGCGGCTGTAGACCTTCTCAATCGTGCTGACTGCCTGTTTGTCTCTTCGGCTCATGGTACAATTGACATGGACACAAACATCCGTGGAGGTCCTCCTGGATTTGTGCGACTGGTGTCTAATGGGCCACGTGGGGCTGTATTTGCTTATCCAGAATACTCAGGTAATCGACTATACCAGACTCTAGGTAATCTCCAGACCAATCCTCGATCAGGATACGTCTTCCCGGACTTTGACACGGGAAATGCGTTATACGTGACCGGGGAAGCGCGGATTCTGGTAGGCCAAGATGCAGCACAGGTGCTTCCGCGGTCAAATCTGGCAGTCGTGGTCACCGTCACAGCTGCGCGATATGTGGAAAAGTCCCTCTCCTTCCGCGGTATCGCCGGGGAGCCGTCTCCATACAATCCTCCGGTGCGATATCTGGCCACAGAAAAGGTCAGTGCGGCCGATCCCAAGGAAGATAGCTCTATCACAGCAACTCTTATCCGGAAAGAGATTCTTACTCCAGCCATTGCTCGTTTCCGATTCCGCATCTCCGATCCAGTCAAACTTGGAAAGTGGATTCCAGGGCAGTACGCGACATTCTCGTTCTGGGATGAGCTGAATCTTGGCTACAGCCACATGCGAGACGATGACCCGACCAGCCTCAATGACGATTATGTCAGGACGTTCACTATCTCATCTTATCCAGGCGAGGGAATCTCTACATCAGAGTTTGAAATAACAGCCAGGAAGCACGGTAATGTGACTCGCTATCTTTGGGGAGTCAATGAACGAGCCGGCCTTGAGGTCCCTCTCAAAGGGGTCGGGGGAGAATTCCAGATAAACTCATCGGGAAATGAGATCCTGCCTTTTATAGTAGGTGGCATTGGGATAACGCCTGTGCTTGCCCAGCTTCCCAGTCTGGATCTTAGTCGGCTACAACTATTGTGGTCTATATCAATCAGCGACGTGGGTTTGGTGTGGGATACGTTCAAGCGGTTTCCGGCGCTGCCCAGATCGACGTCTTTGTTTCTCACCGGGTCTGACCCGGAGGACGAGCTCATCAAGCGGCAGTATGAGGTTGTCGTCTCCTCTGGAGCACAGATTTCTCGACGCAGGATAGACACAGATGATTTGGATCTGTCATTGGCCGAGACATGGTATTTCTGCGGCAGTCCGGCTTTGAAAAGCTCTGTTTTGAATTGGCTCACTGGTAAGAACGTAGTATATGAGGACTTTAACTACTAACGCGATCATACTATTAGTTTACTTATATAGTTAAGGATTGCATCTATTTACCCTTCTCATGCTCTAATCGGAAATCTTAGCAGTTCATAGTTTGTAAAGCACCTAGTAGCCAGTAAAGACCGAGATTCCGCCCGATCAGAATCTCCGCCGCCGAGCGGCAACGCGATATCGGCTGCTGCCTCCGCATCTCATCTCCGCCGCCGCCATTTAAGTAGCGTACCTTATCGAGCTCTTTTCTCTCAACCTCAACAACCTGCCGCAGAAGCGTTCAGACGCCAACGTCACCGCAGTCTCTACCACCATTCTCCCCCACGAAAATCCTTCCAATCTATATTCCCCACTCCAACCAACCATTCATCCATCCCAAACCCATCGCACCGCAACATAAACCCCTCACCACAGCCCCTCGAGCTCCCCGAGCTCCCACAGCTCCCACCATGTCCACCTACGAAGGTACCATCCTCCTACCCCCCCCCCTATCCCCCTCAAACCCAAACCCAATCAACCCCCCAAGTTCAAGTCAAACTAACCCTCCCAAAAAGTGGAACACAACACCACCGACCCTTCCTCAACCACCACCACAGGAACAACAACAACCACAACCACAACGCACCCGCGCCGCCCCGACCTCTCCAGCTTCTTCGCGACCCTCTCCGAAATCACCCCGGATGAATCGCATAGCGCCCACCGGCCGCACGCCGTGCCCGTCCCGCGCGACATCAGCGCAGCCTTCTACACGCTCGCCGAAGCCTTGAACGTGATGCGCCGCGACGGGGGCGGGGGCGGAGCCATCGCCGCGGCGGCGGCAGGTGGGATCCCCAGCTTCGGGCCGGAGGATACGGATGCCGACGTCAGCGGGGGCAGCGAGCTGCTGACGGAGATGATTGCGTCGTTGTTGCAGTCGGCGGAGCGGCCGCCCAAGGAGGTGGAGGGGGTGAGTGAGGAGTTTTGCGATGGTATGTATTCTGGTTTTCATTCTCTTGCGGCGGGGTGGGGTGAAAAGGGTGGTTAGGGGGGCGGGGTATTTCGTGTTTGCGGAATACAAGCAGAAATGGGTTTTGTTTTGGCTAATAATGTATGGTTTCTCGTGTAGTGCTCGATCGCGTGCCCAAGACATCCTTGAACTCGTCGCAGGTCTGTCCGATTTGCAATAACCCCTTCTTGGAGGATCAGTACCCCCTTGTCGTGCGGTTGCCGTGTCATCCGACGCATCTGTTTGATTTGGAGTGCGTGCGGCCGTGGTTGAGGTTGCGGGGAACGTGTCCGCTCGATCGCACGGATTTCGCCAAGCAGGAGAGGGACAAGGCGGAGGCCAGGCGGAAGCCGGCGGTGGATGATGAGGAGGAGGAGTGGGATGGCATGTATGGTTAGGTTTACAGATACGTGCTGAATAATAGGGCATGATGTTGCGGAACTATGCCTTTGAACCGCAAAGCTTGATGTTGAATTTGCATAGAGACGTTTCATTCATGAACTACTATTTTTGTTTCTAAGTCTATCATGTCAGGAAGAATAGCGTAGCTAAGCTATAATCCTAGATCAAAGCTCCTCTTTGGGTCGAAGAGCCAACTTGCCCGCTTTGTCGATGATAGCCTCCAGGCCACTCCTCTCCAGGACCCCGTTGTCATCCTTGACCACCTCGCGCGCTTCCAACTCCTCGACCATCTTCTGATTCTCGCGGTTACCTTCCAACAAGAACTTCAGACACATCACGGCATGCTCCTTGATGTAGGGGTTGTGAGCATCAAAGTTGGTGCAGGACAGGATGGTTTCCACACCGCCATAGCGCCGGATTTGGTCCTGGACCTCGGGACACTTCCACACCAAAGACGAGAGAACAAGCACCACCAGCTTCTTCAGATTGCGCCACTCAAACTCCGACGGGTCCTCCGTGATGGGCGGCGACTCTGCTCTCGATCCCGGCCCAGCATCAACGGGGTCGGGGTCACCGGGGTCATATGGTCTCTCGACTGCTACCGGCCCGGAACCCGAGCTAGATTGGTGGTCCCGGGAAGGGCTGTTGCGTCCTCCCAGAGTAAGAGAACTCAGCTGGCCTTTGGGGATGCTGGCCTCAAGCTCCTTGATCAACGTCACCAAGTCATAGACGATCTCCCACTTGACAAGCAGGTTTTTCCAGTCGTTGTTCTCGGTCAGCACAGCGAAGAACTCCAAGAACTGATAGACACCTTCGTAGACCCGCTCCATATCCCATAAGTTCAGAGGGAAGTCCTCCGGCAAAGCCCTTCCGGCGCGAATCTGTCCCTGCAAGTAGATCAAAGCGCAAGTCTCGGGAATGATGTTGCCCCGGAAAATGGTGAAAATGTATCGAACGGTAAGGATGTCGACTCGGGACAAAGGGGCCGGGCTCTTGGTTGCGGTATGTTGAGAAGTACCGGTGACTGATGCTGGAGAATACTTAGCTCGGAAAATGTGTGTAAGAATCTTGACCACGACTGCCTGCGCAGGAGAAATGATGTCCTTGGGCTGGCCGAAATCAGAGTATGCGTGCGACATAAGACCGTTCTTGAGAACCGCATCCATGATCTGAACCATCATCTTGAAGTAGAGCTCGTCATCAGGAAGATCCCAGGCAGCAATGAAAATCAACAACTCTCTCAACAGGTTGCGACCAGTCTCCTGCGTGAGTAGGATATGGCATCGCAGAGCCTGCATATTCCGCGACCCCGTCCTTTCTCCGCCCTTCAAGCCGAAACTGTCAACAATACCGGCTTGGATGATCATCGGAAGCGCTTCGATCTCTGCGGGTCCAAGCACAAGCGGTATATCCGTCAACAGGCCGCGTTGTTGGTCTCCTGGACGGCCGCGGTAATCGTCGTCATCTTCATCGTCATCCTCCTCTTCCTCCTCTTCCTCCTCCTCCTCCATGCTTCCGTCTGCAACAGCCTCCAGGCTGCGCGAGTCGTCATCACCAACTGTGCCCGCATCCCCAGTATCGTAGTCCTGATCTCCATCACCACCGATCTGGGAGCTCTCTTGCAGTCGCGCCATCAACTCGTCCTTCGCTTCCTGTAGAGTTTCGGCCGCAGACTGAGCAGACCGGGGCATACTCATATCTTCCTCCATGACAACTGCATCACCAGCCGAAAGCGCCCCGTATTCGCTAAGGTCGGGGAGATCGGTCCAACAAACGCGTGGGAAACCAGCTGTTAGGCTCCGATCTATCGTCACAATCGCCTTCTTGCGAGGAGGCTCATCTTCTGGCAGGGCTGGCGGAAGGTCCTTGGCTCTATCCTGGAGATCAGACCACCCATCTACCTTGGCTCCGAGAATAGCAGTCAAAGCTGCGCGAATCTCCTTGACCTGCTCCGGATCTTTGCCCATCTCCTGTATGGCGGTCAGATCGCGCCCTAGCAGCTTCTCCATGTGGTCCTTGATGTTTGCTAGAAGCAGCATGGCCGCCTCCTCTTTGATCGTCGCGGGTTCCCGGGGGAAATTGGAAATCGTCTCCAGAAGCAAGTCCTCCGCAGTCTGATCGTAGAGAGCCCGGATTGGGGGGTTGACTATCCGCTCCCCGGTTTTGACAATCGGCGCCATTCCTTCAGGCTGAGCAAAGGCCGGATCAAGCGGCTCCCGGGGCTGAATGATGTTCGAATCTCCCGTGGAATGGTATCCGAAGAGGTCCAGCCACAAAACCATCTTCCGCTGCTCGTTGTGCATGATGAAATTGTGCATGAACTGCAGACACGTAATCAGGAGGCGCTTGTAGAGGTTGACGACTTTCTGCCAGCGCTCCTCGTTCCGTGCATTCGTTTCGCCATCAAATCCCCGCGCGGTGACTCTGACACAGGTGTCCACCAGGGCTAGAATCCTCTGATCAAAGCCTTTCTCCGCCGCCATATTTTGGGCCTTCTTCGTGGTGGCAAGGAGATTGCGGGCGATGGTACACAAGTCATTCAGGCGCTCGATATCCTTGACAAGTGAGAAGTAGTTGTAGGCTATGAGGTTGGAGGAAGAGTGGTCGTAGTTGGCGGTCGGAGGGCTTTTCCAGGCGAACGACTGGGACTCGAGAACGGGGATCGCCTTGGTCAAAACATCTGTGAATCCTTGCCAGATGTCCGGTGACAGGCCGAGATTATGTCTATCGAGGGGAGCTCAATCAGTCGCCGGTCAACAACACGGTCTTTGTGCGGGGAACAGTGCAAGCGTGGAGCTGCAGAACACGAAATGGGCTTGAAGGAATAGTAGGGGAAATGCTTCAGCAACACACCTGACATCGCTTTCTTGGTGTGTCTTGTAAAGAATCTGCTTGCCCGCAGAGAGCATGTGTTCAAGACGTTTGTCATCAATCATACCCCGGGTCTCATAGTGGCTCAAGGTCCCCGTCAGAATAACCTTTAGCATAAGCTCTGCAGGAGTGCACTTGGGCTTCATCTCCGCTGCTGCCCGGTCAGCCATCTTGGGCGCGAAGTTAAGGATACCGTTTGGTTCTGAGCAGCTGGACTTTGCGAATTGATTGTTGCGGGGAAGAAGAAGAAGAAGTACAACTAAGTGCGGGCGGAGAAGGAAAGAACTTTGGAATAATTACTCGTAGAATAACACCCGCTGAGGGGGAATTTTTCCGGCTCCGGAACCATCCCGCCGCGGCGCCGCCGACTGACTGCCTATTCGGGACGATTCATGTACAATCATGGATTCACATCACTACTAAATAATGTAGTATATACAGAGCCCATACCTTTTCATGACATCTTGGCTCGAATGGAGAGCCCGAAAACATGGCGCAAGTTGTTCCAGAACCCCAGGTCATAGATATTCTCAACCTCCCGCATACTATGTACCAAACTCCACCGCGGGTCGATAGGAGCATCTCGGTTGCTGGGCTGCGATATTTCGTTCGAATCTGGAGATAACAGGTGTCCTTCCTTTGGAGCCTCCCCATCCGTGAGTGCAAGGACCTGCTCGCTGCTCATGGGCCAGTCTGTGGGTGACCCCTGGTACTCTGCGAGCAAGGGCGAATTGCCATATATCACGTCCTTGGTCGATCTATATACATAGCCGTCGGCAACGTCCTCCTTCCAATCAGACCACTTGGAGCTTTCATTGGTGGTCATACCGGCCCAAATCAGATAGGAATGGTATACGAGAAAGGCCCCCGCCAAAGGGGCTGTCATCGTCATCAACAAGGCTGTCGCGCCAATGCGAACATCGGCAGCGATCACCACGGCCCAGATGTTGAAGAAGGTCGTCCAGCTCTGTCGCGTGTGTCGCAAAGGATTGTCAGCAGGAACCAGTTTGTCGTAGGTCTGGTACAGCAGAGTGTATCCGAGGCACGAGCCATAAGTCAGCATGACGCATAACGATACTATCAGCGACAGGAAGTAGTGATAGTTGTGCAACCCAACGCAGTTCATCAACCATACACAATGATGGTCGTGTCGGGAAACACATGCTTTGCAAGTGCTGCAGTGCTTGCTTCTCGCCGGCTTGAGGAACCGGCATGTGCTGCAGCGGTGTCCAGGATGGAAGATGACCCTATCGTACGGATAGCGTTCCAACTCCTCAGCGTGATTTTTGGGGGTAATGAAAGACTTAGTGGTTATGCTCGCATATAAGAAGTAGTAAGGGAGGACTACAACGAGCGGTATCCATACATGGTGGGCCGGAGAGATTCTGGCCCAAGCGGCTGGAATGAACATGCACTGGCCTGCTACCAGAAGTGAGGCAAAGAATATCTAAGTTCAGTCAGCAGGGAGGCGAGCTTGACTTCTGATTCATGAGACGAACCAGAACAAGCGGATGATTCTCATTGAGAACATAGTTGCCAGCCTGGCTGCAGCAAGAGAAAAGCCGGCCGCTGAACAGTATTTCATCGACTTTTGCGAATCCTTTAGGGATGTGTATCCAAAGAACTCTGTGAAGGAACCCAATTGGAGTTTTGCTACAAGCATGCATCAGTCGCAGTTCACTGCATTCGAGGACCAATACATAGCTTACCGAAATGCAGGTAGTCTTCCAAACAGGGCGACAAATACAAAGCCTGAAATTCCAAGGATGGCCAGCGCTATGGTCCGTAGCAATCCCATCTTGCTCCGAGTCGAACCAGCTTGGGGGGTCGATTTTGAGTCGCAATCAGATTCCAACTATGTACAGCATAGGTACTGCTAGCTTGGAGTAATATATCATTGAGCTGACATGAGTAAAGATTTCGATCATGAATTCAGACACCCCGTCGTATTTCGCCTCATAAGATAATGGGAAGGCTGCAGTGCCATAAGAGATGAATCCCCGGTTGTTGCCCACCGGCCGTTTAACATGCCGGGCACGTGACCGTATTTTCCCCAAAAGATAACTTACAGGACGGGGAATGGGCTGGTGCTGGCCGAGTTCCAGTTTCAGTTCACAATTGTCTGTCATGACCACCACAAACAAAGTGCCTTCGACGCTAATTGTCTCGACTGCTCAGAGCATGCTCTTGCTCTAACACTTTCCATGTCACGATGATGCTATGTTTGTTATAAGCACAAAACACATTGACCTAAAGACATACAAACCATCCGGCGCAATTGGATCTATACTCATCATCGGAAACACGTGATAGCGCGTCATCGGAGGCTTTGCAGGGGCGTTCAACAGCTCCGACGCGACTTTCCAAGGGTTCCAGGCCAAACGGATATTCTTATGGATTATTATGGCTGAGGCAACTACGGCAGTCAGTCATGAGGCCCCAGTAACCGCGAATGGGACGCTTTTCCGGGGAAAGCACTTCTGGCTCTCACACAATGTTCCCCAACGAAACCGGTTCAAAGATCTTATCCAGGTACTCACCCTTTGCTCTGGATTAATAGCGAGCTCCTACCTAATAAGGGCTCAAGCAACACGGAGGCCACATAAGGCTGTTTGAGAAAGATGCCGAAATCAAAATAGTCGATCACAAACGGAGGAATCTCCCGCCGGACACGTGAGTACGTCACTCTGCCTAGATGTTCACAACTTATTTATGCACAGATACTCCTTCAAGTTCATCGAGGACTCCATCCGCAAAGGGCGGATGCAGAGTTTAGAGCCTTATCGAGCCGGGCCATCAGAAGCTCGACCAGTTGGCGCTTCATACATTCCTACGCGAAACCACAAAGTGCCCTACACTGTCGCAGATGACCAGCTTCTATGGGACTGGATGCAGAATTATGAACGAGACTCGACAGCCTCTATTTCAGGGAATAAGATTTACCAAGAACTTGCGGCGAAGGTAGTGTCCACCTCGATCTATAGATCCCCGCAGAGATGTTTAATCGTGACTGAATACCCCCTAGAACCCCAGACATACATTTCAATCATGGCGTGATCGCTATCTAAAGAGGCTACGTGGTCGTCCGCGTCCGGGGGGCATGCCAAAAGGTTCTGCTCTTGAAGAAAAAGATTCGCAGGAGGTTGCTCCTGCACAGGTGACGGCCCCTACAGCGCAGACTCAGCCGCCTGCAATTCTCTCACGGGAACATGAGGTTGTGCCCTCTTCTAGCAAACCAGCTGACAAGAAGAGGGAACGCGTGTCGGAGACTGGCGACGAAGCGGACCAACCTGACCCAATGCATCGTTCAGCTCCCAAAAGAAGAACCGCTGAGCCCGTGCCAGAACGTGTAGCAGCTGCACCTGCACGCCTTCAGCACAAAGGTAAGGAGCCTGTGAGGCCTCCTCCACCACAAATCGATCCGAAGGCATCGATTGGTGGGGAGAAGCTTTCTCCAACTACGAACGGAGTCGAGCAACAATCCATTCCGGAACAGACCGAGACTGGAACCGATAAGCCACAAAATGGCGCTGACCCCGCTCCAATACCCCCGGAGATAGATCCTCTATTTCTTCAGCTTCCTTTCTTACCTTCAAGTCCCGAGCCTGAACCCGTTCCCGACCCTCAGCCAGAGATCCCGGAGCAGGATATTGACACTTGGATTGACCGTCGCCTTCGGAATGGCAGAGCGACAGAGGCACAGATCATCGAGGCCTTGCGCTGCACAAGTATGGACCCAGACTTGGCAGATAAGGTTCTCGAATTCTTGGTGGCCGGAAAGGACATTCCAGACGATATTCCGGGGGTCTGGACCACGGGAGATGACAGGTGTGTGGAAGGAAAAGAGACTCGAGGGATCCAGCGGGTTCTAGAGAAACACGGCGCGGAAGCGTTCGATGCTAGGTGGGAATATCTAAGCATGGCAAGGGCTGCCGGTCTTGAGACAGAAACCATTGAATAAGAACTCCACCGCAAACTGGAAATGCAACTAGAATACAGAGGAACGCTAGGCGACACAAATGAGGAACAAAACTCAGAGAAAGACCCGGGAATATAACGAAGATGGCAACGGAAGAAAGAAGCATTTCAAGATGTGTGCAAGTGCTCTTTCATCTTGGGACATTCTGGGCCCTCCGCTGACCTCTCATGTCCAAGAACTACCCAAAAGAGGGTTTATCTTACAGTCATAGCATTTGTAAATGGTGGTCAGAAACGCCCCAACAGAACACCCACATGCACGGCTCGTTGTCAACGCTTCGTGACCAGTAATCGCATCATTGGGGAGATTACCAAGGGAAGAAGAAGGCGAATGCCTGGATGCTCCACCCAATTTGCTGGGAGGGAAAGAGACGGCAGACTCCACCTGGTATCTCAACCTTCTTTGAAGACCCTACCATGACGTTAGCCTATGAATAGCGTCGTCCTGGAATACAAGTGACTACTTACAAATGAGACTCGTAAAAGTCAAGCATCTTGCCTGTTGTTAGCCATTATTCTCTCTCAGATCCCAGAGGCCACAGGAGCACATACTTTTCGAGGGCATCTTTCATAGCAAGTTTCAATAAGGACCTTGGACTTTCTGCCATTCTTCCAGTTCAAGATGGCAAGCAGGTTCCCCGAGCCCGGCTCGCGGAAGATTGTGTCGACGTTATCCACCTCCTTCTCCCAGCTCTTAGACTTGGGCACCCACGAGCTGGAATCACTGTCTTCTTCTGCTGCTTGGGGTTCCGGTGACTCGTTTGCTCGAGACTTTCTCCGCTTGTTCGGTTGTGTCTGCTCGGGGGTTGCTGATTTAGGAGGTCTTCCCAAGGACTTGCGCTTCTTGGTTTGAGGCTTCTCCGGACGGCCACCCAGTTTGAAAAAGTACTCATCGACCGCCTCCTGCGCACCATCGCTGGACAAAATCATTTGGGTCAGTTCGGTTTGTGCAAAGGTAAAGGCAGAAGCGAAGAGCGCACAGATTTCCCTCTGGTTCAAGTGTCATGTCGGCGGGGTCATCATATCCTTTCCATTTCACCTGCAGGAGCAGCTCGCCCTGTCGCAAAGTTAGCGAGACTTCCAAAGTAGCAGTAATGGGACAACAGGCCCAAGTGAGAGCGCGCGCACCTTCTTGCCCCATTCATGACTGACGATCTTCTCGACGTGGTAACTGCGCGGAGTCAGGACTTCCAAGGCCAACCTAAGCACTTCCTGACCGTACTCACACGTCTTCTTCTTCGTCTTCGTCCTCGTCCTCATCATCCTCGTTATCGTCAACGGCCTGCTTCTTTGCCTGCTTCTTGGGTGCGGGGGCCTCCTCGTAAGGAATAGACTCGCCAGTCGACTCGTCATCGGACACGTCGCTCACCGGAGCTGAAGGTAAATGATGGTTTGTCAGTCATTCTTTGCGCGCGACAGGTTTAGACGCCCGGTCATGGGCAATTGATACTCACGAGGCATTGTTGTTGTTTGGAACGGTGATGCGGCGAAATTGAAGAGTCGCGAAAACAGCTTGGCGGCCGAAATGCGATGTCAAATTTGACTCGAATGGCTTTCTTAGATCGGTGAGCGCGTGCAAGTCACCGACCGCAAGCCGATAGAAGATTGGGGGATGAAGAACTGGGAGAAGAGTACGGAGGAGCAGCAAGACGAGTGACGATGGACAGTGAAATGGCTACCGGCTAGTCGCGCAGGCGCGCGATGGAAGAAAGATCTACGCTAGACCTCTTTGGGCAAGCAGCTCACTAGCCCGCTTTTGGCTCCCTCCATCTCCAGATGAATTTCTACAATCGCCCGTCATTTGAAGTTGTGCCGGTTAAAGCATCCCCTCTCTCTACCCCCTCCCCCTTCTTTTATCATTACTCCCCCCCTCACGCACTCCTAATCTCTTTTTTTGGGGGCCCTTTTCTTTCTCCGTTCACTTTTCAATTTGTGATTTGTGGGCTTTTGTTTAACCTTTCCCCTTCCCCTCCCCCTCCAGATTCCCGCCAAGTGGGCAGACCGTCAAAATGGCTATGCGTATGTCTTGATACCCCTCATTTTTGGACCACGGTGCTAACGTCTTTTTCTTGTGGCTACAGAGCTTGATTTGTCTCAAGGTTGACCCCTCCGCTACCTATCCTCGTCATTATGATACACGTTCCGAGGTCGCTGACTACCACACTCAGCTTCTGTGATGAAGGATGAACAAGGCCGGCCGTTCATCGTTGTTCGGGAGTACGTTACGATCCGCCGCTCAGATGGTGTGCCACAATTTCGTCGGTATAGGATATGTCGCTAATCGCAATTCATCCGGACAGTCAAGGCAAGAAGAAGAGACAGCATGGTACCGAAGCCGTCAAGTCACACATTGTCGCCGCGAAGACGGTTGCCAACATCGTCAAGACATCTCTGGTATGATCTATCGCCTGTCGAATGTGAGATGCGTCTCGATTCCGGTTCTAAAGACTACTCCAGGGTCCCCGCGGTCTTGACAAGATCCTTATTTCCCCTGATGGCGATATTACCGTGACGAACGACGGCGCTACTATTCTCGGCCAGGTTCGTGCCGACAACTACGCCCCGCAGTCCTCCCTGGCAAAAGTTCTGACTAGAAGATTTTGGACAGATGGAAATCACAAACAACGTTGCCAAGCTTTTAGTTGAGTTGTCGAAGTCTCAAGACGAGGAAATCGGTGACGGAACTACTGGTGTTGTGGTTTTGGCGGCAGCCATGCTGGAGCAAGCGTCGGAACTCATCGACAAGGGCATCCACCCTATCCGGATCGCAGACGGATACGACCAGGCCTGTGAGATCGCAATTGCACAACTTGATAAGATCAGCGATGAGATTCCGTTCTCCAAGGAGGACACCTCCAACCTTCTGAAGGTTGCCAAGACGAGTTTGGGTTCCAAGATGTACGGTGACCGTATCCCGAGTTTTCTGCAGTCAATCCCATCTGACTCTTCTACAGCGTTTCCAAGTCCCACGACCAATTCGCCAAGATCGCCATCGATGCTGTCCTCTCCGTGGCCGACCTCGAGCGCAAGGATGTCGATTTCGAGCTGATCAAGGTTGACGGAAAGGTCGGAGGTGCTCTTGAGGACTCTCTTCTCGTTAAGGGTGTTATTGTCGACAAGGACTTCTCTCACCCTCAGATGCCGGATGAGGTCCGGGATGCTAAGCTGGCTATCTTGACCTGTCCGTTTGAGCCCCCGAAGCCCAAGACCAAGCACAAGCTCGACATCACATCTGTGGAGGAGTTCAAGAAGTTGCAGGACTACGAGAGGGAGAAGTTCACAGAGATGATCCAGAACCTGAAGGATTCCGGGGCCAACCTGGTCATCTGCCAGTGGGGTTTCGACGACGAAGCCAACCACCTTCTGCTCCAGAACAAGCTTCCTGCTGTCCGCTGGGTCGGTGGACCGGAGATTGAGTTGATCGCTATCGCCACGAACGGTCGCATTGTTCCTCGCTTCGAGGATCTGAGCCCTGAGAAGCTTGGAACTGCCGGTCGCGTTCGCGAAATGACCTTTGGTACTACCCGGGAGAAGATGCTAGTGATCGAGGAGTGCGCCAACAGCCGCGCCGTCACGGTCTTTGTACGAGGAAGCAACAAGATGGTCAGTTTGGACAGCTGAATCGAATTGACGTGACCGAATGCTGACCATGGCCACCAGATCATTGACGAGGCCAAGCGTTCGCTGCACGATGCCCTTTGCGTTGTGCGCAACCTTGTGCGCGATAACCGTGTCGTCTACGGTGGTGGTGCTGCCGAAATTGCCTGCTCCATTGCTGTTGAGGATGCTGCTGTGAAGGTACGTGGAATTTGCCTCTGCTAAATTCTGGACCAACATCTGAGTCATTTGTCTAACATTCTCGCAGAGCCCTGGTATCGAGCAGTACGCCATGCGCGCGTTCGCCGATGCTTTGGACGCTATCCCCTTGGCGCTGGCTGAGAACTCTGGCCTGAGCCCCATTGAGACCCTGGCTTCGATCAAGTCGCGCCAGGTCAAGGAGAACAACTCCCGCTTGGGTGTCGACTGCATGCTGACTGGCAACAACGGTATGTCCTCGTAGCCCTCAAACAACATATCTCGCTGCTGCGCAACTCCAACTAACCCTTCTTATTTAGACATGAGAGAGCACTTCGCCATCGACCCCTTGATCGGCAAGCGCTCGCAGCTCCTGCTCGCCACCCAGCTTTGCCGCATGGTTCTTAAGGTAAGTTTGCTTATCCAACTGAGTCGAAGACAGGATAAGAAGGCTAATAAGCAACTCACTCCGCAGATTAACAACGTCATCATCTCCGGTGACGATGACCAGGAATTCTAGATTTCTTGTATACAGGAATGTAATTTTTTCTTCTTCTTATTCTGCTGGCTAAAAGAGAGTCCACCACCTTTGGCGTTTACAGTCACAACGGGGCTTGAGATGATAATCCTATTTACTTTCTTCAATATATGTTCCTCTCGGCAAGGGTAATGAACAAACCGAGGTGGTGCGCGTGGTGTGGTGTCACTATGGTTGTTGGTACATAGAGAAAACTAAGGGAATCAACAAAGTACAATAAATTTCCATGACACACATCGTCCACGTCTATTCTCATGATGTTTGAGATTGGCTCAGGTTGATGCGGGGGAAAAAAAAAAGAAATCTTTTTGTTCAAAGAAAGCTCCAGGAGAACATTCTCACATACCGATTATAGCTACGTTGTACTGTACCTATTATCTCCAATGGACTAGGATATATAATTTCAGCTCTTCAGGATATCTGCTGTACCCAATCCTCAGAGCCCCGCCTATCCAAAAACCCTCAGGCGCACCAATCTCTCCCAAACCTTGCATATCCACAGCAATAGCCTGCCGTAAAGTAACCCCCCCCCCCCCCAAAAGGATATGTATACAAGCGGGCGTGCAACATCCGCCCGAACCTCCCACAGCCAAACCCACCCTTATCAAAAATTTATTTGCGTAAATCCCACACCCAAGATCCGATCCAACGAAGCATAATCCCATCTCAATCCCCGAGTCAAAAGATAAGCCAGTCGATATACAAGCGGAGGGTGCCAGTTCCGCCGCCGCGTCCGTCGGCTACGACCGCTCGACCGAAGCGGATAATGCACTTCGAGTGCGCGGGCCGCCTGCCCGCCTGCCCGCCTGCCCGCCCCCGACTGATAACTGTTTTGGGGGGATGCAGAGAGGGAGGCGATGATTCGTGAGCTCATGGACAATCGGCGACTGGACCCGTCTCGTATCTTTTTTTCTTCAATCGGGATAGCCTATGATGTAGATAGTGATGGCAAAGAAGGAGGGGAGAGGAAGTTTAAATAGATGGCTTCCGCCTGTAAAACTATAGGGTCTCTCTGGCATCGAAGTATCATCCTACTCTTCAGCTTCACCTTCTTATATTCCTCAGAGGCTTGCTGTTAGGCTTTGGTGATTTAGTATCATACAACAGAGAAGATGGGCTCAACTGCGTCTGGTTGGAGACCGCTGAGTGTGGGGATCGTGGGCGGCGGGATCGGGGGCCTGGCGGCTTCGATTGCGCTGCGGCGGGCGGGCCATGCAGTGGTCATCTACGAGCGCCATGATTTTGCGGGGGAGGTGGGCGCGTCGATCTCGTGTGCGGCGAATGGGACCCGGTGGTTGCATGAATGGGGGGTCGATATCGCCAAGGGCGACCCCGTGGTGCTGCAGAAGTTGATCAACCGGGATTGGAAGACAGGGGAGCCGGTCAGTGTCTATGATCTGGACGACTACGAGCAGCGCTGGGGGTACGTCTACAATATGTTCCATCGGCAGTATATGCATGCCATGTTGAAGGACTGCGCGCTGCAGGAGGAAGGGGCGGGAACGCCGGTCACACTGAAGGTGAACCATAAGGTGAGTTTGGCGGGGTATATTTATCTTTGAACTGTGACGGTTGCTGATGATCGTGCGTGTAGTGCCAGGATATTGACCTCGAGACGGGTGTGATTACCTTTGACGGTGGTGAAACGGTGCGGCACGATCTCATCGTGGGTGCTGATGGAATCGGCTCGGCCGTGCGAGGCATCATTGGCCTTCATCCCGAGAAGACTCCGGCGCCGTCGAGCTGCTTGCATGCCAATGTCCACACGGAGGATGCGGTCCGCTTGGGATTGGTCGACTATTCCCAAGACAGTGCGTTGGAATATTGGGGCGGCCAGGAAGGCAAGTGGGATAAGATCGTCCTCTCCCCTTGCAACGGCGGCAAGTTGCTGTCTTACTACTGCTTCTTTCCTCGCGAGAAGGGAGACTTCATGACGCACACATGGGGCGGAGAGGATCGTCCGGTCGAAGAGCTGCTCGCTCCTTACCCAGAATTAGATGAACAAGTCCGCTCTCATCTGGCCATCGGCATTGAGATTAGGCCCTGGCGCCTGTGGGTGCAGTAAGTCTCGCCCCTGGGTTGTTTTCTGCAGTATCTGTGAGTTAGTGCTGGACATCTCACTAACAGTTGAACTCTGTGAACAGTCAACCTTACCCGTATATCGCCAGCAATATGGTCTGCCTGCTGGGAGACGCAGGACATCCAGTAAGTTGCTTCCCTACACGAACAATTGTGAGCGAGGTACTGATTTACTTTCTGCAGATGATGCCTCATCAGAGCCAGGGCGCTTGCATGGCCATCGAAGACGCC